TTTTTTTTTTTTTTTTTTTTTTTTTTTTTTACCTAAACACAGAGGAAAATATATTGCAAAGTAGAAGATGTCCTTTGCTGCCAGTGTAGCAGTGGAAATCAAAAGTAGTTGCAGATTCTTTCTTGGGTTGGCGTATGGAAAAGAGTGGAGTGATAAGCTTCCAAGTTCCAAGTTACGAAAGCAGTCAGAGAGTGCAGGCAGTATAAATGGACTAAGTCTTACTCCTTCAAGTAAGGCTTTGACAGGACTGTGTGCTTTTAGCTGGTGTAGGCAGCTATGAGCAGAAGTACAAACAAAAATGAAGTACAAAAAAAGCACAAGTACAAAAACCACTTCTACACTTACTCCTGGGACAGTCACTCAGATATACAACTGCTAAATAAACCTCACTTTACCTATCCAAGACTTAATGGTAGAACCTACCTTCATGCAACTCATTCATCTAAACACTCCCACCAAAATGAAATGACTGTGGAGAGGTTTTGCAGGATCTGGCCCCCAAAGCATAACTGTTTCCAAACTTTTATTTAGGCTTGAGGTACTCCTGGTATTCTTGTAAAATACAGCCAAAGGTGGCTGTCATTGATTACATTGTAATTAAAGACCAGGACATTCAAATTCAATTTAATTTCCTCCTAGCACTACTGAAAATGGAACTCTGCTTCAATGAAAGCCACACTTACAATGCAGGACACAGAGGTTTGCAGGATAATAGGTTCACAGAGTAATTTACTACTGACAGTTATCAAAAGCTTCAAGATGTATTTTGAAATCAGGTCATCAGAGGTTTTGTAAAGAGTAAGGTTTTGATATTGCCCACAAACATTTCTTCTCTTTGCTTCTTTTACTTTCAGTCTTTGGACAAGTGGTTTCCTTCCCCCATCTAAATGTATCCCCAGTTTCTTATATTTTGGACAAGTGAAAAACAGAAGATAAACTGCATTTATATTTCTTATTAGTGATTTTTCTCCACTAAAATTCACTGGAAACACAGGGAAACAGCATTGACATGCAGCGATGTTCCAAAGAACATGACAGCATTTCTGTTTTCCTTTGAAGTATAAAAGGAACTGCTTTTCAATCAAATCTACTTCTTTTCTTTCTTTTCTTTTGAGGTAAGAAAAAAATAATAAAGTATTTCAGAAGAGAAAAAAATACAATGTAGTTTTTAGGTATGGTTTATCATTAACGATTTATAACTATTCGCTATTCAAGGTCCTTTTTACTGATTTTTGAATATTTTCTTTGCTTAAATACAATTATTGAGACAGTCTGTAAAAGAAGCAATTCAGTTTGACAACAAAAACCAATTTGTTTGTAAAAAATGTGTATTTTAAGAATTTAATGGTTAAAAGTTTGAAAAATACAAAATAAGTTTCTAGACTAAAATATAGTTGGTATTTCAGGAAAAATCCTTTCAACCTTTGCTACATGTGGCAACTACTCCACCTTTAATCCAAGGGTAACAGTTTAATTTTCAAAAAATGTATTCAATCTTCAGGTCAGATCTGGGGAACGTAGATAAGGTTTGCAACATTTAACTTTATGGAAGAAATAAAAATGTCCTTTGGCAACATTTTTTTTTTTTAATTTTGTAAAATAACATTGAGAGAAAAAAATAAGAATGCATAAAAATGAGGGCACTTTTTAGTACACTTCAATCTGAAGAAAGTCACATATTACGAGTGCTATTATAGTCATTTTTACTAATGGCCTGTGATCTGCTACAATGACACAAGGATCTTGTTTTGTTTCAAGTAGAAGTACTTTAGAAATCAATGACCATCCTGTGTTTAACCACTCATAAAAAAGACAGTTAAAATCTTGAAAAACTGCAGAAGTTATGCCTACAGCTGCCTGTGTGCAGAGATAGGCAAATCATTTATTTTTATCAAAATATTAGTGTTATTTCTACCCCAAATTAAAACAAATACATGTAGGTAAGCATCAAATTCCATGATTCCCAGACCTGTGCAGAAAGTAACTTCTCTATTTTGATCTCGAGACATAGATTACCATCTTTTGATGGTTTCTCTATAGCAAGGAGATCATCAAGAAAATATTTCCCAGAACCTATGGGACATAGCTCAAGTAAGTTTAAATACAAATGAGTAGTTTCATGGGCTTTAGCTTATTTGCTAATGCGAGTGTGTTGTGTCTTGCTCTGAGCCTCAGGGATATGGCAGCATTTTGAAGAAACTATGGGAATGAAGAACAAAATGACATACTTAACCTTTGACTGAACTGTGTATAGCTTCTATGTCAAGGGAGAATAGTAAGAATTCTAATATACAATAATTATTCATAAACATCGCTTACACTACAAATTCAGCTGAATTTTTAGGAATCTTTCCCTTAAAATGAATAGCAGTAAGGAGATAATTCTTCCATGTTTTTCTTTTTAGGCAATTAAAATTCTTCATCACACTCTGTGACGGTGAAGGTTAATGCGGCCTTTATAATTTGAGATGAAACTGACCATGTCCTTCACTTTTGCTGCACTTTCACCATCTCTCCTCAGTGTGAAAACACAGCAGTCTTCACCACTACAGGCAACTTTTAAAGATAGAGGTATCCAACCCAGTAGACCAGGTTAAAGAGCAGGAAGGATGTAGGAAAAAAGACCCTAGAGTAAGAGTCCAATTCTAAGATGTCTATGTGAATCCGTCCTCTCCTCCATGAGCCTGATTTACATTCTTCATAACAACAGAAAAAACTCTGGCAGTCTTTCCCATCCAGACATTCATAGACACATGCCTCTTCAAATTCTTGCCAATACATGGCATTGTTCAATGTGATGACTGTAGTTGGTGGTCTCATATCAAGTACAGAATAATTCTGAGGAGAGAAAAAGAAACAAACAATGTAATGAACTCTTATGGATGATGCACAATTAATAATCGTATGAGAAGTCACATGAGACATGAAATCTGAGCTGGGAGTAAGAGGTCAATACCACAGGAATTCTAGATTCAGGGACCAGCTTTTTTTCCGTCAAAGGATGCCTTATCAGATGAATTTCCAGAAAGGTGGTGGAGTGCTAAGTTAAATAAGCTGCATTCACTACCTCTTAAACTTACCATACAAACAGATACAATTTTGCACCAAATAGCCATGATTTAAGTACAGGATTTTAAAACACTGTTTGACAGCTGTCTGAACACGAGCCAGCAGTGTGCCCAGGTGGCCAACAAGGCCAACAGCATTCTGGCCTGCAGCACAAATAGTCTGGTCAGCAGGATGTTCCTCTGTACTCAGCCCTGGTGAGATTGGATCCTGATATTGTATTTAGCATTGAGTTCCTCATTACCAGAAAGATATTAAGCTGCTCAAACACATACAGAGAAAAGCAGCAAAGCTGCTAAAGAGACTGAATAAAAAAACCAAACACATGAGGAGTAGCTGAGGGAACTAAGGTTGTTAAGTCTGGCAAAGAGAAGGCTGAAGGGGAACTGCATCAGTCTCAACACGTACCTCAACTGAGGTTGTAGCGAGGTGGTGTTAGTCTCTTTTCTCAGGTGATAAAACATAAAGAAATGGCCTCAAGTTATACAGATGAGCTTTCAGTTGGATATCAGGAAAAAGAATTTATTCACAGAAAGGGTGGGTCAGACATTGGAATTGGCTGCCAAGGGAAGTGGTGGTACCTCTGTCAATTATGTTCTAAGAGATGTGTGCATGTGGCAGTTAGGGATATGGTTCAGTGTTGAATTTGATGGTGTTAGGTTGATGGTTGGATCTGATGATCTTAAGGACTTTTTCCAACCTAAATGATTCTATGATTCTATGCTCTTCTTGGTGTCCACCAGGACTCCAAGGTCCTTTTCTGCAAAGTTACTTTCTAACTGAGTGGACCCCACAGTGTACTAATGCCTGGAGTTGTTCTTCCCTGGGAGTTTGTGCTTCTCCTTGTTGAATTTCACAAGCCTTTTTCTCCAGCTTGCTGAGATGGGGCTGGGAGGAGAGCAGTACTCATACAACAGACACCATCTCAGTACCACCCGAGAGATATGCCAAGGTAAGGCACTTCTCAGGTGCCTTGTGCAAAACATTTCAGATGCAGTGATGAAACAAGCTTAATAAAATTATTTCAGATATAGCATATGCATGTTCTCCATGAGGAAAAAAAATGAGGGGTGGGATTACCTGAACATAGATTGACTAAGATTACTGAAATTTAACCTTTTAAGTTGCATCACTTCAAGGTTGACAAAAACTCAAGGCGTCCTGGGAGTAATTGACTTACGTTGTTCAGCTTCCGCAGCATTCTGCATGCAAATTTGTGACACTTTTAGAGTAAGCCCCACTTCAATATTAGGAAATGTTCTCATGTCTTAACATTAGGAAGGGTGGGTAAAAAACTTAAAAAATCTGCAGGTAAACTTCCAAGCAGATGAGACTGACTACCAACCTTAATATTTTAATTGCATTTCTTTTTTCTTCTTCAATTGCAAAAAAAGGAAATTGCCACTAACCATTCATTGTGCCTTATTGACCAAAGCTTTCAGAAAATTCTTTCCAAGGAATGACAGCAGTAGTAAGTGTATAAATGCAAATCCATTCATAAGGTTATTCATTGTCAATATGCAGACTTTCAGTGCTATGAGCTCTTTAAATGGAACAGAAAACCTTTTAAAAAACTTATTTTAAACTAAGTTTATAATTTCTGAAAGGTAAACTAGCAACGTGGAGCTAGGAATTGTAAACAATACACTTTAGCATGTAAAAATCAAGAAATATGAAAGAGGTAGTTAAGTTCAATCCTTCTTTGCATTTGCCCTGGATATCTGGAAGTGGACCATTCATCTGGCTTTATATTATTGGTCTATATTTTCCATATAGATATCCAATCTCCAATCGAGTAGGATATCGAATGGATATCCAATATCCATATATATGGTCTATATTTTAGTATGTATTACAGTTTTAGATTTCAACTGGGTGCTCAACTTAAACTTTATTGCAGCTGAACTTAACCAAACAGTTATCTGGAAATTTGAAGAATATAATTAATTCTATTTTTAGATATGTTTCTAATACATTCCTAATTATGTTAAACTCTTAAACCCAAAATATTTGAAAATCCATCTGAAAGTTTGTGAAAGATTTTACAGATGTACACAAATTATTTTCTACAAAACTCATTAACTAAAACTCCACATACATTTTTGTTGTACTTGTTCTTAATAATTTTTACTAATATGTAATGTAGAAGTGCAGCATTACATATAGCAGAAGAACAGAATTCTTGGCTAAGAATAGCACAAAATATTTACACTTGACCCTTCTCTCTCCCAAATCATTTGATAAGTCTTTACAGAAAGAGGCAGGTATGTTCCTCTACCACAGTCAAAAACAAACTGACCTTTTAACAACAAAGCAAAAGCAGTATTTATAGTGAAGTCAGGGTGAAGTATAACACAGCATTATGACTTTCTCAGGAATTATTGCAAATAAATGTCAACCATACATTCGAGCCGCCATTGCTGTCACAGGACTAAACAGGATACTTACCATCACATGACCAAAACTGACATCAGGTAGCTTAAATAAAGATAAGAAAAGAACTATTCAGAGGAAAATATAAATATTACTTCATATGTACCTAATACTAAATACCATTTCTTAAAACAAATCTTTAAATGCATTTCTCCCTAAAACTCTTCATACTGAACCTTCAAATTATTTTATGTAATATTCTGCACCCTTTGAAACTTCATGGAATCTGGAGAATGTGCACCCTATTTCCATCCACTTTAAGAATTTATTCAACCTTTTTTATTTTTATTTTTAATTTAGTAAACAATAGCTAAGGATTTCCTCACAAGTTAACTTATATACTATCAATGTTGCATGTCTTCCCTCATCTTCTTTTATGTCTGGAAATACATCTTGCCCACAAGGATACTAAAGACTCTTTCATCCAATTTCTCTATAGGATAGCAATTTTAGTTTGATCATTAGCAAGTTCACTTTGATTGTCCCATAAATTTCTTTGGGTAACACTCTTCTGCCTTTCCCATGTAATGCATTTTTACAAATAGCTATTAGAGGTTTAATGGAGTTTTCATTAACCAAGTTTATTGGTTTTCACGTTTTCTCTAATTCCATATTATTTTAATCTTTTCCTCTGTTATTTCTTCATTGAATCACTTTCTATAGCTTGTTTCAACCCACTTCTACTTCCTGACCGATTATTCCCAGTATTTACCTTTATTTCTTTAGTTCCTCCTTCATAGTTTTCCTATTTGACTTTGTATTGCTGTTTTAAATAATTGTATGTAAAGAGCTGGTGTATTGCAATTGTTATTGCAATGGTCTTTTTGTCTAAAAATGCATATTTTTTCAAAGACTTTGCAAGTGCCCTCCTTTGTTCTTGTATGTAGGAACATTTGAACACAGGGCTAAAAATAAGTGCTGTGCCCAATATGAAAAACAAAATCCCATTTTTAAAATTCATAAATATTCCTAGACCTGTTAAGACACAAGATAGCAGATGCATTTGATTATACACTGATGTGCATACGATTTCATAACGAGCTGTGATACCTGCTTCAGTGAAGCCCTTTATGACTACTAGAAGAGTAATGAGGGGGAAAAGGACACATGGGCAGAGTTGCTGCTTCATGGTCAGCAGGTTCCTTCTGTTAAGAACAGAACTCTAGGTAATTACTTTCCACCAGCTTTCAGGGTAAATAATACCTTGAAGTGGGAAAAGGCTAGGAGGAGTGGAGTGTAATGAGATTACAGGATGTTACTGAATGATTCTCAAACCTCTGAGCAACAGTACTGAAAAGAAAACACTCCTGTCTTACCGACTTTTTCTTCTTAGTACAGTTTGGTTTCCTGCAACTGGAGTAGTAGTTGAGTGTTGCGTACTCCATCAGAGCAGCAAATACAAATAGAAAGCATACAGTCACAAACAAATCCATAGCGGTGACATAGGAGACACGGGGTAATGACTTTCTTGCAATGGTGCTCAAAGTTGTCATGGTCAATACTGTAGTAATCCCTAAAGAGAAAAACTGGATTTACTTTTATGTAATATAATTTCTGCAGGTTTAAAAGAATCTTTGGAAAACTCTACACACAACAGAATACCAAAGCATACACAAATTTTCAGAATAAAGTCATTAGTTTTGTCTGGCAGTATAAAAATAATGAAAAACAACTGTAGAGGGAGAAGTATTTAGTAAACAAAACTTTCCTCAGTTGTTCATATTTGTCTTCGCAACACAGAAGTTCCCATGCCCCTCAGTATACTTTTCCTCATCTCCTTATATTTTTTTAAGAAAAGTAAAAGAAAGCCCAACAGAAACCCAGAACCATTAGTACAAAGAAACAAAGCAAAATCCCTAGAAAACATAAATGAAAACATGCTGTTGTTTTTTTTTTTTTTCACAGCAATACTCCTCTCATGAAAAATCTTGTGCTCAAAATAAAAAAATAAAAAAATAAAAGAGAGAGAGAGAAAAAAGAAAATAAAATAACTTTTGCTGCTAATTATGAATTTTGAAAATACATTTTCACAATCCTGCTTCCTTGGGAGTGCTCCACTGCTGTTTTCTTTCTGGGTAAGGGAAAACAGATTCTCATACAAGCTTCAGATGCAACCTTAATGGAAATAGCTTTTTCAATTTGTACAAAGCATCACAGCTTAGATTGATATAGTAATAATGAATATAATCGGGATTACTTAGAGTGAAATATCCTGAAAAAATAAAACCAGTATTAGAATGAAGTCTATGGGGTGTCAGTTATTTGGCTGTTAGGTAATTCACATCACTTGTGCTAATTCCTCAGCAGAAGATGGCTTCTCATTCCTATTTTGGACTGATGTTTTTAATCATTCATTATGAACCACAAGTCTTCATATAGGAAAAACTAAAACTCCTCAATGATTTGGAAAGAAAAATAAAGCACTCACTCAAGTAATTCCCAAAAGAGAGCCTGCTCTAAAAACATAACTGTAAGGTAATCTTTCTTTTTATAGTTAAAGTGGTATTTTGCAATGGTACATAGTGTTTGAAATGGCAGGGGATAATTTAAATTACGCCTTATAGTAAAATTACTTTCCACAAATGGAACGGCGGAGAGCAAAAAGTATCAGTGGATTACTTGTGACTACTTTCTCTTTGATAAAGTATGCCTACCTCTGATTTTCAGCACTTGAAACTACAGCAATTCACAAGAATAACTTGCCTCATTCAAACCATAAAAAAGTCTCTGGAAGAGCCAAAATGACGATTAATGCATGCGCCTGGATTTTCTCTTACAACAAATAACGAACAGAAACAGAAAAAAAGAAAACATTGCTGAAAAGAAGAAAAAAAACAAATAACAACCCAATAATCAAGATCAAAGCAATGCTGGTAGAAAGCGGGAAATGTGGAAAATTTTCCTTCCACGGGAAACAGCCTTATTCTGTGTATGTCATCTCAATATTTGGCACTGTCTTGCACTGGAACCCAGAGCACCCACTTTAGTTCATTCAAACTTTAAGCCAGCTGATTCATCCAATCATATATATTCAACAACACAAATAGTACAAAGGAGTTATCCCAGTATGACTGAATGCTTTGCAGATTTTTTTCAGGTTTTGTGGTTTTCACTAATTTTCTACTGCTGCTAACGTTAGTCTACATACGAATTGCAATTACATTTTTGAATCTCAGCATAGACATGCTTTTAGACTTTGTACATATCTTCAACATCTAAAAGGTACTACAAAAATATTTGTTTCGTCTCAATTGTATCACAATGTAGGTGGCTGCCATGGTCCAGTAACACCTACAGACCCCTCAACAACAGCTCTGTAGCTAATGAACCTTTTAACAGCTCCAGACACAAACCCTATGCATTCATCATGGTGGTCAACTGCAAAAATTTCCAGTTGCAACAAATGTTGCCTTGACGTGGTCCTTGTTAGCTATAAATACATTTTTCTTCCTGGATGACCATGTTTCAGATCTTGGGAGGAACTTTTTTTTTTTTTTTTAAAGAAACTGTTAGCATTCAACCTCAACTGTTTTGACAATGAATCATGTTTTGCTATCAAAATATAAAACCTTAGAGAACAGAAAGTTTGAGAATATCACAAACCATCACAATTTCCAGATTATATGTCACATTTCAAATTATGTCAAGGCCATGACATATGAATGCCATGTGCAGAGCTGGAAACATTCAAAGGTAGAACAATCAGATTGTTACTTCCATTATTTATATAAAATATTTTCACAATATGACAACAATTATAGAAGAATCATTCTTCGTTTAAGCTGAGGATTAGACTTGGATTCCAGCTCAGACAAAGAATGAGCTTTTAAAATAACAAAAAATCACTCTAGTGTATCAACTTTACCTGACACATTGACACAAGTTTTGAAATATTAAAATGAGTCCTATGAGGACACATGCAGAGAGCAAAGAGAAAGAAGTGTACAAGATGATATTGTTTTACATTCCTATGCAATTGTAAGTCAGAATACGCCAATATGCACATAAGAATAAAATAAAAAAACCACCACTGCTGAATACAATATCTAGATTCCTTACCCTTAGTTCATTTTATCTATCATGTTAAGAAAACTCAGTTTGGTGAGTGGTTTTAAATGCAATAAACTTTGACAGATTAAATTGTTAAGTCTCTCGCCTAGGAGACATCAATACTGTGAAGTGAGCTTTGAATCTGTTATTGAAATTTGCAGTGCTTTGGAACTATTTCAGCAGAAATCTAACATCAGCCAGGAACAGCTTTGAAGTAAGCTAGCTTCAAAAATTTCTGGTAGGTAGGTGTGAGAAGAAGCACATGCTTGTGCATAAATTCCACTTTTGTGACATTTATATTCTCCGAGATACCAAAGATAGAATGAATATTTGATAAATCAAAAAGGGTTTTCCAGTACATCAGTGTAGGTATACAAAATGCATGAGAACACTTTAACCTTTAGATCATTGGCATAAATAGTTATTTAACATAACAGTTGTCAGAAAGCTGCTTACTGTGCAGTGGCATGTCAAGTGAAGTAACAGTATTAGAAACTATTTGGTCAGGGAGGCTCAATTTTTCTTATTTTCCCGTAGGAAAAAGTATATTGGTTTACCCAAGTTTATAAATTTATAAATTTATCCAAGTTTATTGTTTATAAACTTCATTTCTTCACCTTTCTGGTCTGGCATCTGTTTTGAGCATTTGCTTTATTTTTCCATGGAATGAACTTAAGGCAGAATGACAAGGACAGCAATGTTCACTTTTTCTTAAACATCATCTCTAACTTCTTTTATACCAAAGCATCGCTGCCCTTGATACCTACTACGTTTTTTAAGCTTCCACCTGAAGTTGCTGTACAGTAACTGTCTCTTCATATTATACATTATAGCCATTTTTTAAGAAACAGGGGGGAGCTCAGATGAAAGCTTTGGTTTAACTTAATTCCCTTCATCCTCAAGAAAAACAGCCCTCTATTTTTCAGATCATAACTTTTCTTCAGACACTTGCTGGCTCTTCTTGACTGTGAACATCGGGAGAAGATCATTTTGATTACCAGAGACAGGTAAATACAGCAGAAAGCTATTTTTTCCCCTCTGAATGGAGAAGAGTATAGCTAGAGATCACAAAACACAGTTCTCATCCAACAGCTGAATTCTATTTCCATTTTCCCACTGACTCTTCAGGTGTCCTGGAGCGAATCACACTAACATTCTTGGCCTCAGCCCCTCAAAGAGCGTGTTAAAAAGGGGCTGTGATGCCAAGTTTTTAGAAACCACTTAGATGCCTTTAGACAGTGCTGCTGAAAGCATTATTATGGTCCCATTTTTTCCCTCAGCAAAATACCCCTGACTGCATTTAGTTTTCCAGAACAAAAATTACTTATTACTTAGAGTTATTCAGAAAGGGGTAAAACCCGTCCTTCATATAACCCTGAGTAGTTGCCAATAGCTTAGAAAATTACTCATTAATTTCAGAGAGTGAAATGTTTCCCTGATGCTAGTCCTTCACATTAAGGCAGTTATACTCAGGGCAGTTTTGGTGCACCGAGTATGCAATTCATTTCAACTAATTAGCAGGATAATTTCAGTGGTTTGCCTCTGGCTGTATTACTCAGATTTTACCATGTGCCACTCTCAAAATGTGGAAGTGTGTTGCTCAGATAGATTTATAGCTTCTGTTATACAGGCAGACCTACCGTAAGTTGGGAACATTTGCATCTGGCATCCCAAGAGTCAAGAGGCCATTTGCAATTTGGGAGTAATGGGTCTCTGATCATGTACAAAAAGAGGTGACCCACATACATATTATTTTCTAGTCACTTGACTTTATTTATAAGAAAGTTTTATTTTATTTTAATTTTCTATCAGAGTTTTTATGAGTTAGCAATCACAGCCACTGGACACAGCCTTGGAATATCTCACTTTCAAGGTCTTACTTCAAATTCACAACCTTAATATAAAAATACATTTTTTCTCTGAACTTCATGCTGGTAACAGGGGGGAGGCAAGGAGAGCCACACTGTTATGATCAGTATCCTACTTTTGATTCTAATTAATTTAAAACTGAGTTGTGTGGTGTGGAGAACTACTCTCAAAGACAGGGTATGAAGTCTGCCTCCATAAAATTAGTAATGCAAACTGTTAGACACCTTTTATCCCTTTTTACTTTTCTGGTAAAAATAAGCATTAAGGAAGATAAGTCAAATGGATGCTCTGCACACACATGGGGCTTTGTACTCCTAGTTGAAAACAACAGAGCACAGTCAATCTTTTCTTCTCCACTGAGCCATTCAATTTCAGAAGAAAGTTGTTCCACAGGAAAGTATGCTAAAGGCCTATTCAATTTTCTGGCCACCAGAGGAAACAGAGCCAGGAATAGATAATCACACAGGTGCTCTGTCCTCACTGTTAGTCTATCTTCATATTGCCTTGGAGGTAGAAGGGGTCACAGATTAGACTCTTAAGGTCTTCCATATTGCCAGAGCACTCTGGTACTCAGAAAATGTTAGTTGGACAAACAAGATGCTGCATGGCTATGTATGTCAGTTTTACAAACTCCTGTAGCAAATCTTGCAGATTTCAATTTTGAGCTCACTTCATGCAAAGAGGGTTTTAATACAGAATTATCTGTAAAATATGAACTAGTGTTGTCTGCTGGTACTTGCCCTATTAAAGGTTCTTTTAGGTTTTCCTTACTATTGATCCTGCTACCATCCACTGAGCTGTTCTTGGCTTGAAAGATGTCCCTTGTCATTCACTAAGATTTAAAGCTGATACAACCTCTACCTAGAAAGATGTCTAAGGATTGAGAGTGGCATGGTTGCCATATAGGTTTTTTTGCTTAAATAGGCTAGTGAGGGACTCATTCTTAGAGAGTATTTTCGATAATATAATTCTTCTGTCATTCAGCAGAAGGTTAATGAACTATGGGAACATAGATGATTTAGAAAGATGGCTTTCATACCAGGTGTTAGTATACTTTGAACAGATGACAATATGCTTTTTGTGTAAGTTAAGGACTTAGAAAATGGGATTAGAATTCTGGAAGAGTTCGAGTGACTTTGCAGCTAAAATCTCATTCGAAGTCAGTGGGCTTCAAAATCTCTTTAGCACCTCCTTTTCATTTTTCCCTTCAGATCCATCAGGGGGCGTAGGCTGGAAACTAGAACACTCTTAAAACTGGTGGCTTCTCAGAATTATTAGTTCAGGAGAGGGACGGCGAGAAACAGGATAAGTCATTTTAAAGTAATATATAAAGGTAGCACCGTTGAACAAGTTGTCCTCCTGAGATCAAGTACAGTACCTGTGTTTTGGTGTTTGGAAGAGAGCAGACAGAAATGAATTTGCACAAAAATTAACAACCATTTCTGGTAAATGCTTACTTATTTGGGTGGAATGGGATGAGAAATACTTGATCAGAAGTTTAGGAGAGTGAAAGTTCATGCAAATGGACTTTCGTATCATGTGGTTTGAATAAAGGTACACTGTCTCACAGAAGGCCTCAAGAATCCCATGCCTGCCTTATTCATGCAGTCTCAGGGTAAACAGCCCATCTGTATCCTTTGTCCTAGCACTTCCTTGCAGCAGTGCCTCCACCTCAAACGAGGGGATTCAGTTGCTTTTACAAATGTTTTCTGTCCAAAAAATGTTTTCTGTTCAAAAAATCAAGTGAGTTGGTCTTCAATAATCTGTTGTTTTGTGTTGGAATGATTTAGAGGGCACAGTTGGTTAAACAGAGATGTGAGAAGCTCCAGCAGGAGGAAGCAATGAATAGCTGAGAATGGTAACACCTACTTTTGAAAATAGATATGTAAAACATGACACACCTCCCCTTTTTCCTATACTGGTGTAAATTTTTCCTGACTGAATAAATTAGTGATCTGCAGTGCTGGCAACCTCAGTCTGAACCAAAATGTTTTTCCTTCAGTTCTGATGTACACCTATAAGGCTGTTGTTATACGGCCTTATGCCCTTGACACTTGCAAAAAGCTGCAGGTTTTCATATAGACATAAGAAAAAATGGTCCTAAATATCCTAAAGCACAGTGCCAAATAGCAAACAGTGGTCCTGACATAAATGACCTGCTGAAAAATCTTTTTCAGCACAACCTATGAAAAATATCTACACACCTAGAATGGGGCTTAACTTCAAGCTCACAAACATAAAACATTTTGAATGAACTAATATTATTATATCCCACAGTTTTTTAGTATACATACGAAATCATATCCTGTAGGGAAAGAGTTTCAGAAGAAAAAGAAGCCAGTAGTGCAATTAATTTATTCTTTAAAAATGTCACTGAAATATCATAGTGAGAACAAGGGGAGAGCCATTAGTTCTAGAATATTATGCAAAATATGTGGCAGTGTCATTCCAAAGGACCAGGGTAGTTTACTTTTAATTACCCTTTAAAAGGCAGAAAACAAAAGGCTTCATTGATAAATAGGCTTCATTGATAAATAGATAGGAGTCTGCAAGACATGGTAGCATTAATATAAAGCATATATCTTGTGGTCTTTTTGAAAGGAAGCTGACATTTTCAAATGACAGTATAGAAACTACATGAAGAGAGTAAAGAAAGAAATTATTAACAACTTACCTAATGCTGTTCTTGCTGGTGTGGCATCTTTTTTAATCCAAAAGGACACCCAGGAAAGTACAACAGTTAATATACAGGGAATGTATGTTTGAATAGTGAAGTATCCCATTCTTCTACTTAAGTCGAAGTATATAGTCATGACTACATAATCACCTGCAATAATAGCAGAGAAAATAAATTGACATTGTGGTGAGATACACGTAGTTCTTCATTGTGCCATGTTTTTAAGCTCCATAAAATACAGCATGTGAAATGTTTCTCAATGTTTCGGGAGAATCTGAGCAATAATGTTCACAAAAAGACAAGAATTGAAATAAACTTGTCCATTCTAATTTCCTGTAGTTTAGGTCTCTGAAAATGTTGACCTATTTGAACAGGCAGAGGCTCTTGGGAATCCTTCATGATGAATAATCTTTTGAAAGGCATCTTGGCTTTCCAGACTTGGTATTTCTGGATGGGTGAGTGGTCACAAACATGAATCTACCTTCATTCACTAGATGTGGAAGCAGCCCCCACAAAATCTCTCCTTCAGCAGACTGTGCTGTCCTTCTTGCAGATTTGAATGACTTCTGTTGCCTTTTCCTAACATGTGAATCAGGTGGTAGGGGTTTGTATGACAAAGTGTAGCATGCACACCAGTATGCCTTTATATAATAAGTTATTTATAGACACTAGAGCCTTGATGCTGGTGAAAGAGGTCAGAATACATACTTTTAAAGGTCACATCACTATAAATCAAGAGTCTGCTTTTATCAGAATTCCTCCATCTAAAAGTAGTAATGGTCACTTGTGGTACTGTAAACTTCCAGAAGATGAGCCTGGACATAATGCTTATTATTCTGCAGGATACTAAAAATCATAAGATCAAGAGCTCAGTAAGAAGCCTGTTTTATCTCACATTATATGATTTTCTTCACACTATCTCTTCTGCTAATCTTCACAACTCCATAGGGGATAACAATCTGTCCCTCTCTCTCTACATAGTAGAGACCTTATCACCTCTATCCTCAGTAGCAGCTCCCTCAGTTTCACAGCTGTTAACTATCCTTTTCTCTCAGACAGCCACAGTGATTAACAATAATGAAATTGAACTGAGACCAATTTCTGTACTTTGCTTGGAGTATGTTGATTCAATTTTAGATGTGAAGACGAGCTTATAAGCCAGAGAACTTTTGTGGGTTTTTTGTTTTTTTCTTTTTGTCTGACTATGTCACTTGACTAATAAATTATATTGCTTCTTGTTACAAGCCTTGCTTTTTTAGAATCAGATATTTGCAAAAGACGTAATTTACTATAGATAGGTAAATCTGTCCTGTTACAGCAAAATTCCAAAACAAATTGATAGCACAGAGGAATTAGTTCCCAACAGATTGGTAACTGAGAATGTATAAACAAAATCACTGAATACAGTGGATATTTTGACAATAGCAAAATATGACACAGAAAATAAATTAATTCAGTAAAAATAACTTCCACCCAAAGAAACTCTTAAGGCCACTATAAAATGAGTGAACTTCCATAAGTTAAAAAGTCAAAGGTAAATAAAAATCTGAGGGTGGCATTTAGGAAGAGAAACTTAGAACAATGAGTCAATAAGAAATGCTCTATGTGTTAGGACATTATTTTAAGATAGCTCCAAATTGGAAGAGGTTTAATATGCTCATGGGTACTTCCACCATGCCTAAGTTAGATGAATGGATGGATTTTCATGAGTGCTGTGCAAGTACAAACCTTATGACCCCAAGAACTTGGACATTCATTCCAAAATTCCTCATGCATTTAACATAGAAAAACAAAGGTTTAATACTAGAGCCCAGTGCTGTTACAAGCACAGAGCACTGTAATACATCATAATGTAGTGAGCCTTGTAGGTTTTCATAGACTGGTTACTTTCATTCCACTAATCCCCAGCACTTTTCTCCCTGCAGGGAATGGCAGCAGGGAAGTGACGTGGGTAAGTATCCACTGGTCCTTCTGGCTTATTATTAAACTGTATCAGCATTCTAATCTTCGACTGAGAAGAACAAAACCAACTACCCAATGTGGCTCCTCTGAATTTTACAAAGAACTGCAAATTCCCAAGTATCCAACAAAGACCCATAAAAGCACTTAAGGAATATGAAATCCTAGGATAATGATTGGTTCAATTCATTTAACCACCAACTTGTTTTCTTGCCTGAAATTCACACAAAAAATTCTCACATGAAGAAGGGAGACACAGTCATATAAGCAGCAGCTGCACATATGAACTTATATACTGTACCCTCTGTGATGTTCTCTAACTTACATACTGATAGGCAATATAAAAAAAAAACATTGCGAGAATAATTTTGATCAGTAGAATTACCGGCACACAGTGGAGTAAGATAAGAATTATCTGGTTTTCCTACAAGAATTTTGCAGAACGTGGAGAGGACACAGCTTGGAGAATAACAATATTGATGGTAATGCATAGGAAAAGGAGAAGGAAATCACCACTGCTGAAATGGCGACCAAACGTAAAAATGTTGGGGGTGCTGTTAAAGATAAACCCTTTTCTGTACTACATGTACTGAATGCATTTTTTAATAGTTCTTGTAAATTTTGGTTTACATCAGTTCTATCTTCAGCTAGTGTTGGGACAGTTGAATAGTTTCTGCATAGGGAAGAGCAGACCTGTGTATGCTGTGGCTACTTTCCTTGATGTACTGCTTCAGGATGCATTATTTTTATCAAAGTCTAAATTACTCCTTCCAGAAACATGCACTATTCTCTCCATATCGAAAAGCACTTGGCTGCAGCTTAAAGAAAACTAACTGTTCAATATACATTTCAGAATTTCTCTATATATGCAAAATAACTTGACAGGTACTTAACACTCATGACAAACTAACTTTCATAACAAAGAAACATTCCCCTCTTCTAAAAGACCTGACCTAAAACCCATTCTGTATGTTGTGCAGGCATAAGCAACCCAAAGGACAGAGAAAGCTTTCAAAGACACTGCAATCTTTGTCCTTGCTTCATTACCAGCCTTAACAACCCCACCAGCCATTACTGCGACTGTTCGGACAGAAGCTGGGGCTTATTATGCGACAAAACCCTGCAGACAAGACGGGAAAACACTCCAAACTGCATATCATTAAATCAGTGTTCTTGATTTAAAAGCAATCACAGAATGATTGCCTGCCTAGGAACCACTGTGATAGCAAGTATTAGGAAACTTTGAAATTCAGAGAGGAATTCTACTTTTTAACAGCTTAAGGAATTTCTCAGGAAGGCAAACTAACTTTTAACCGAACTATCAGACCAATTCATTGTAATAATGAAAAGTACCTTACGGCAAAATATTCCATGACAGTTTTCTATAACAAGAACAAAAGATGCATCTTGAGGCAGGAGAAACGCAGCAAGGCTTCCCGTGAAACCAAAATGACCACTGTCTGACCCATAGAACTTGTATTAGTTGAACATTTTAGTATGAAAATAGGACACCATTTGGAACAATAATGATTTTATAAGGAATAATCGCTGTGGATTTTAAAGAACAGTGCTAAACTGTAGTCCATTTCCATTTTTTTATTGAACATTAAGGACATGCTTGACAGAATTGCCAGAATTTTATCTGCATTGCACGAAGGACAGTTCCCTTTAAGGGTAGAATATTTTAAGAAAATATTCTAAAAATATGCATTTACTCAAACCACATTGTACTATCTTATCGCATGCTTTCAGTTATCCTCCCATTATACTCTGAAGTTAACGATTACTGCAATCCCAATTATCTCAGAAAAAAAAAAAAAATTAAAAGATGAATGACTTTACAAAAACTGCAATATGAAACTACAGTGTATACATAGAACAATTTCAGCAGGTAAGTGGAAGCTCACAATCTAATTGTCCATCACTAGAATTGGAGAATAATGAGGAGTGGCAGAGTTTGCCCATGTTGTCACAAGAGTTAATTACAGGAAAAAAAAAGAAGCATAGTCACTAGAAAGACTCACACAGTATGTCACAAGTATTTCTTTAGCAGTGAAAGCACAGTCTACATTGAGGCACTTTCCCTATTATTTTAACAAATCACATTTATCTAATAGTGAGCAACTTAATTTTCTAAGATTTAGTGCTTCATCTTTTCTTCATTTTGTTTTTATTTGAAAGCAAGAGAAGACAATATTTAATCCTGTTATTTAATATGCACATCCTTCCAGTTCACTTTTTGATTTTTACTTCCCCAAGCCCCCTAGTTTTGTTTCAGGAGCTAGGTTTATATGATTTCTTAACCAGCTGGAAATTTTCGAATTGTTTGGCCACTGCCTATCATGCTTACAGTATAGTGTCCTTGAGTTACACATACAGTTAATTTCTCTGTAATATAGGTGATTTGAAAACTATTAGCTAAAGCTAAGGAACAACTTCTGTTGTAGAACACATTGGTCAGACAGATGACAAGTAAAAGCAGTGGAAAACAAATTTTAATCTAAATCAGCAGTTAGATTTTGTCGAATGTTCACTATAGAGTTTTTGTTTTTGTAAAAGACTCATGCTCTTGTGTTAGTGCGGGTGTCAGCTGGGGCAGTATAGATTGTAGATATGCATGTTTCAGGTTCAAGGGCTGGTTTTGGGCTGCAGACCTTGCACATTCTGGAAATATTTCAGTACAGAGTAAGAATGAAACAGAGACTGTCATAAAAAATGCAGTGCTGCCTAATTCACAATTAGGCAATTCCTAATTCCTCCAAATCAGACAAAACAGTCATGCAAACTAGGCTTTTTAATATCCCAGGCCATCAAGCCAAACACTCAGAAGCAGACCCACTTGAAGTACAAATACCGTTGTGGTTTAACCCAAAAAGCACTGGTTTGCTCACTTCCCACCCTCCCCAGTAAGATAAAGGAGAGAACTGTAAACAAAATAGAAAATACAGTTTCAGAAAAAATCTATTTACTAAGACAGAAGAGGAAAATAGAAAAGAAAAAGAAAAAAAAAAAGCAATTATAGCAAGATATGAGCGCTGTCCAGAAAGTAATGCTTGTTATTTTATTATGTTAAAGCATGGTGTCAGAGACAGATGTTGTATGGCAGAAAATATATATCTATATCTATATCTATCTATATCTATATCTATATCTATCTATCTATATCTATATCTATATCTATATCTATATCT